GTGACTTTTATTACCATCCCTGGAAAACTGAAAAAAAAAAAAAAAAAAAAGAAGATGACAAGAAAATAGACTGAGAGCAACTGACAATGGGGCAAAAGGGACCAAGGGATTTAGAGATGGAGAAGTCTCTGGTGACCTCAGTGACTGCTAGAGAATGGAAGGCACAGAATTAAGATTCTAATTAATTAAAGAGAGAGTGGGAAATGAGGTAGCAGGGACAGCAGGTGCACACAGGTGTTTGGAGAGCTGCAGGGCGAGGAGGATGGCACAGTGGCTGGAGACAGAGGTGGGGTCCAGGGAGGATTTCCTAAAGATAGGAAAGTCCAAAGTACTAATGCTGATGAAAGGAAGCTAATGAAGAGGAAAGGTTAAAGCTGAAAATACGGATGCCAAGCCAAGGAGGAAAACCCTGAGCAGACAGAAGATGAGATCGGTCTAGGACAGGAAGGAGGATGTCACCTTTAGATTAATGGGAGGGAAGCAGAAAGAATAGGCGTAGAATCGGTCCAGCTCCATTCGGGTTAGACTGCTCCACCAACAACTGTTCTGTTCAATGGAGATAGAGGTGGTTATGTCAGGAGTTTTGGTGGTGGGGAGCTGAAGGCTTCTACTTCCTTTGTAAAGCTGGAAGTCATGTGTTGACTATTAATAGGAAGTGAAGGATGGAGGTCTGAAATAGCAGATGGAATAGGAGAAGCACCCTTAAAAAAGTGGGACTGCCGGGTGTGGTGGCGCATGCCTATAATCCTAGCATTCGGGAGGCTGAGGCAGGAGAATCCTCTCGAGTACAAGACCAGCCTGGGCTACAAAGTGAGCTCAAGGCCAGCCTGAACTGCATAGCGACACCCTGTGTCAAAAAGACAAAAAAAAAAAACCTAACAAACAAAAAAACCAGTGTCATGTAAAAGAAAAGGATTAATGTATATAGAGTACCTGTTACATAACAGTTGTCCTATGACATATAAACAATAACTACCAACATTATTGACTAATATTTCTTAGGCCCTGGCCAGATAGAAGAGTCTACTCTGTTGACAGATTACGGTCCTTATCAGCCAGAGTTTGGTATACAACCTGTAGCGTTAACCACTGACCAGTCCAATTATTTAAATACAGCATAACCAAAAATTACATATTTTTCATTAATTTTTATAACAGCAAATATAAAAACAACAATTGACCAAATTTATTCAATATAAGAATTGACTGGTGAAGCCAGGCGTGGTGGTACACGCCTATAATCCTAGCACTAGGGAGGCTGAGGCAGCAGGATTATTTTGAATTTGAGGCCAGCCTAGGCTGCATAGCAAGTTCAAGGCCAGCCTGGATTATATAGTGAAACCCTGTCTCAAAAAAAAAAAACAAAAACAAGAAAACAGAACAAAAAAAGAATCCACTAGTTGAAATAACATCTGCCCAAACAACACTCGGTATAATCAGTGCATAAAACAAATGTGCTGTCCGGGTGACGTCCAGTGTAAACTGTTAAGTGGTTAATACATACTGACAGATAATTCCATAACTCACCATCATGATATGTCCCGTATTAGTCCTTACATTTTAACATATATCAATTTTGTCTCATCAGATAGAGTAAGTTGCTTGAGAAGTAGACTGTATTGTAAGTCTCTGCATTCCCTCAAAATTTCTTAATAGTATTTATAAACTAATTTGTTTTCTGATGATCCTGTGATTATAATGGCAAGCAACTGTTCCCTTGCTTTAAAATAGCCAAATAAATGTGTACCTTCCCATTTGATCTGTGCAGGGTAAAGTTTCTGGAAGCTAAAAAGTGTGAATGAATATGACCATCCACAACAGGAACTATTCAGTTTTCACAAACAAAAAAGCCTCTTCCAAATGTGTACTGGCAAGTACTGCACATGCAGCAGCAGATAGCTTCCAAAAGAAGGTTCCAGTTTATATGCAAAGATTCCAAACTGGAGGTAGGAGGATATAAATCCTCTAGAAATCAGACTAGATATAGATACCATCTGACCATTAATCACAAGAGTCTAAATTAGACAAAATGTCAAGATCCTTGAGCCAGGTGTGGTAGCACATGCCTGTAATCCCAGCACTCAGGAGGCTGAGGCAGGAGGATCGTTGTGAGTTTGAGACCAGCTTGGGCTACAAAGTGAGCTCAAGGCCAGCCTGAACTACATAGAGAGACCCTGTCTCAAAAAAGAAGACAAAAAAAAAAAAAATATATATATATAGAGAGAGAGAGAGAGAGAGAGAGAGATGGAGATGGTATTGTTCACCTTAAAAGAGTTCCAAATACCGGGGCTGGGGATTTAGCTCAGCGGCAAAAGCGCCTGCCTGGCAAGCGCAAGCTCGTGAGTTCGGTTCCCGGTACCGGAGAAAAAAAAAAAGGAGTTCCAAATACCTTAGCATTTCATGGCTATCTCCTAGCGATAATAGGAATGGGAATATGGCACAGGAATATGGCAATTTCAGCTAAGTGGTTAAACAGTACTTCTGTTATAAAATGAGGACAACTAATGCCAGTTTATATGATGTATTGTTTTGTTTGTTTGTTTGTTTTTGGCTCCTTTTCCGGTAGCGGGAATTGAACTCAGGACCTTGAGCTTGCCAGACAGGCACTGTGCCGCTGAGCTAAACCCCTAGCCCCTATATGATGTATTGTGGCAGTAGATGCCTACATGTCAAACTTCTAATAGAAATTGAAGGCTCTTTGTGTGGCAGGTCCTTTCCCCTGACTCCCAAAGTCAAATAAAAAATATGTCTTACACAGTTGCAACCTTACTCGTAGGAAAAGTAAACACTTTATTATATAAAAGAAGTAAAATTTCAAAAATTTACATCAAAACCAAAAGCCATGCTGGGCACAGTGAGAAATTTTTTAAATTGCAACTAACTCACAATTTTCAGTAATCTGATTGGAACCAAAGAGTTAAGCTGCGCAAAGAGTCAAACCACCATGACTACTGTAACAGTGTAAGAGATGGAAATGAAGCTACTAGCCTGCAACTGAAGCAGACGAGAGAAGAAAGGAGCTCACAACCAAGATGTTCAAAATCAGGCTGGAATCCATCTATGATCCAGTTCCAGTCAGTCTGACAAGTCACTCTGATCCTGTACAATTACCCTCTACACAGGAGTTTTAAAAGACAAAGAAGGGAGCTTCAAATTGATATGTACACTTATTATTCCTATTATTCTTATTTGTGGTGCTAAAGATCAAAAGCAGGGTATTGCACACAGTAGACGCACACTTTACTGCTGAGCAACATCCCCATCTCAGTATGTACAATTTTAAAGACAAAATCAGTATACTTTCTATTTAACTAAATTCAAGGGAAAGGGGTTTTGTTCTTTATAATCAAAGAAGAGTATGATCAGCAGTGAATCATGCAAATGCAAGGTAACTGCAAAGCCACTGACAGCATCTTCTGTACTCCTTTTGTACGCAAACTGTTCTTGTGCTGACTCTACCACTGATTTAATCAAAGTTGGCAGTAATTTCCCTTTATAATTTAATTTATTGTAAACATATAAGTTAAGCCACTTGGTCTGAATTTCAGGTCTTTGTCTTTAGTGTTTACTGACACTAATAAATATTTTAACTCTGTTCATGTTATCATCAAACAGTAACTCTGACTTACAAACATACAATATCTCATTACCTAGATGGTTCAGACCAACCCAATCGGGAAAAAAAAGAAATAACCTGATTACTTTCTAGGTCAAAGAATGCCAGAATTCAGAATTCTGAATAGCTTAATGTAGACTGTTTTACCTACACAAGTTGTTCTATTATATAGAGACAGAATCTTTCTAAAAACACAGTTAAAAGCCTTCCCTCCTAACATCCTACAGCTCCCTGTCATAGCAATGGCCACTGATGACACTAATTATCTTCTCAGTGTATTCAATACTTGCAAAATGCCCACATACACTGGGCCCTGTGCCAGTCAGGGTTTGAAGGAAAAAAAATATACCCATGCATAGTACAGGAAAAGATTTATTTCTGAAGTGACTACATACAAAGGCATGGAGTTAAAGGGATAAACAAGGAATTTTAAGGCATACAGGGGTGGGCATACAGGGTGGGCAGCAGAGAAAAGCCTAAGTCTCAAGAGTGGGCTGGGAGGACAATTGTTGGAACTCAGCGAGGACAGCTGGAACTCAGAAGGACAGGCCGCCACACAGAAGCTGTGCTTGGGGAGGGACAGCTCTTCTTCCAGATATAAGATACTGAAATAGTCAGGGAGGGGAAGTAAACCCTAACCTCTCTCCTGCCCTTGGATTGTCTTCAGAGCTTCCCATTGGCCAAAAGGAACCCACGGAGATGCAGTCCACTGAGGCCAGCATCCTGGGAAAAATTGGACAGAAAAAGGAGGACAATAAGAAGGGACTGGGGAAGGGATAACAGATGATAAGAAAGAGTTAATATGACTAAATTCCGGAGTTAGAAGGAACATAAAACATAGGAGGACATCATTTGTAACTGGTATATCAGAAGCCTAAAGATCTACAGCAAAATGATTTTTAAATGAAAGTTAAGTTCTAATCTTCAGATTACTGTGAACCCCAATTAAATTCTATAATATATTATTTCTTACTGGATTCTGCAATATCTGTATGAGCTAAACATTAAACTCATTTGCAGATGTTAGACAATGGATAACCAGAAGGTAAACCTATCTACAGACAATATGCAAGATGCTGATGATAATGACCAATAGCTTGTTTTTGAAAGAAAACTTGATGAAGCTATGAGATGTCATTAAAAAAATTTAAATGTTTCAAAATATATTACAGTAAAAGACATATTGCCATTAATCCCCCTCAAAATATCCTCCGTTGCTTTAAACACACTAATCCCACCAATGTTGCCACTTTCTGAAGCTGTTCTTTTTTTTTTTTTTTTTTTTTTTGAGACAGGATGAGGCCATGTGGAGTTCAGGACGGCCTTGAACTCATTATTCCCAGACTGGCCTCAAACTCACGGTAATCCTCCTGCCTTCACTTCCAAAATGCTGGGATTACGGGTGTGCGCCAGCACACCTAGCTTGGAAATCCTATTTTGTGAGTGACTTTAGTTGCACCATTGTGACTGCCTTGATATGCTGAATCAATTCAAAATATTTACCTTTCCAGCTAGGCGTGCTGGTGCATGCCTGTAATCCCAGCACTCTCTGCGAGGCTGAGGCAGGAGGATTGCCGAGAGGTCCAGGCCAGCCTGGGCTACAAAGTGAGCTCAAAGTGAGCCTGAACTGCATAGCAAGACCCTCTCAAAACGACAAAAAAAAAAAAAAAAGTTTACCTTTCCTGGTTATTCTGAATTTGGGGAAGAGCCAGAACTCACATGGTGTTAACTCCAGTGAATACAGTGGATGAGGACACACAGTAATGTTTTCACAAGCCTGCCTTTTGCTTGGATGGCATTCAGCTTCACTGTAGTTTTGTCACAACTCATAAAGACATCACGAAACAGGACTTGTACAACTGCTTCAGAAAGAGGCAAAAATGATGTGGTAAGTGTGCTCAAAACAACGGACTGTATTCTGAGAAGGATTAATGGCAGTATGTCTTTTACTGTAATAAATTTTTAGAGCTTTAAACACTGCTTATTTTGATCATACTTTGTACAACTGGCAAGTAATAGAAAATCTGTGCTGAAGTGCAGGGAAGAAGAAATTATCAAATGTAGGAACATTATATATAGTACTTGGGACACAGTCCTGAATAACTGATGCTTACCAAGCCAAAGGACTGCTGATATAAAAACAATTATTCATTCATGCCTTCTTCACAAGTTCCTAAAAAGCTGATTTCCTTCTCGCTGGCTTAACGCTTTCATCCCTTTTTGATCTTCTTTTCACCAACATCTTGATCCTTAGTTTTTGTGTCCCTTTAATAAAAATGATCTGAGGCATTAAACCACATTACTAAGATCCAGGAGAACAGGACAGCACACCAAAGGAAACAAATAGCACTACTGGGAGTGTTCTCTGTGGCGAGGTGTTGGTTTATGTACTAGAAGGTATGTTAACTCAATTTCTCATAACATCTGAATGAAGTAGTTACCACTATCATCCCCATTACCTGATGAGGAAACTGAGGCACAGAGAAGTTACATACCTACTAAGTCCTAGAGCTAGGATCTACCCAGGCAGCTCAGCTAATCACTCTGCTTTTGGCTGCTAAACTACAGTACATAGCTAGCCTCAAAGAGAAAATGTATTTTACTTATGTTGTAACAGCAGTCCTTTTCAAAACCACTGTTTATTTTATCACCTTATCTTCATTTTCTGAAACTTCCTCTAGTATGAAATCTAATTTAAGTATCTCACAGTTTAAGAATACATTGGATTGCCGGGTGTGGTGGCATACGCCTGTAATCCCAGCACTCGGGAGGCTGAGGCAGGAGGATTCTTGCGAGTTTGAGACCAGCCTGGGCTACAAAGTGAGCTCAAGGCCAGCCTGAACTGCAGAGCAAGACCCTGTCTCAAAAAGACAAAAAAAAAAAAAATTTGCTAAAGCTATCAAATAGAATCTATCTCCCCAACTCAACTACATGCTCCTGGGGGCAGAGATGTCACTCCCTTTGTGCATCACCAGCCTGTGCACAGATCTGCCTCACTAGCAGTGTTCAAGAGATGCTGGCTGAACCAAGGCAACACTTCTGTTCTATCCAGCCTCTGCTGAGCAGCAGCAGCCACTTTGGAAGGGAAAGGGCAGCTGCTCCCCCAGTCCCATGGCTGTAACCAGGACAAAGTCTGTGCTCTGCTGAGTAAAAGTCTGTTACTCTGCGATTTCTAGTCACTAGCTGTGTCCTTTGGGGCAGGAGAGAGCAGGCTGACTCTGGTCACTTCACAGTACTTCAGGTGTGTGAGGGAGGCTATCAGATTCTCCCCTCCATCTGCTCTGCTCAGGCTGAGCCTCCCCAGCTCCTTTGGCTGTTCTCATCGACCTGCTGTGCAGACATCTGACTGCTCTGTGCCTATGCTCTTCTCTTTGTTAAGATCCCTGTTTAAATGTGACACCCCAAGGGAGCTCCACATTGTATCCCAGGAGTCCTCTAAACAGCACATTACCTGTCTCACCCGTCACTGGCTCCGGACAGTATATTTCTGTCTCTGCAGAATTAATGCAGCACTGACATTTTCAGAACTTATCAGCCTGAGGCCTCAAAGGCCTCATAGCCTTGCACTGTCCAAGAATTTCTGGAATTCTTACCGTGTTTCAAGATGCATGTGAAGTGCTGGACATATAAAAATAAGACTTCCCGCTTTCAATGTTATTACAGAGGAGAGGCTTCCAATTCAAAATCTTCCATTCAGAACAGGTGTCTAGGATTTTATGCTGCTGGACCTAAAACTTTTAGATGTTTCTTTTTTTTTAGGTGGCACAAAAAGACAAAAAAAAGTCAGCTGGGTAGTGTACCACTAGGTGTGTACCACTGTGCCCAGCTTTACCTTTATCTTTTAGACTGTCTAACATTTCTACCCGTCAAGACCATTTTGGATCCTTGGTCTATCATCCATCCCATCAGAGTTCATTCTGAGATTTGTCATCTCAAAGTTTGATAAGCATGCCTTTTCTGATTTAATTCAAATGACTGATGAAAATGTTGAAGGTGGCAGGCCAAAACTGCAGTAATCTCAGTCTGCATCTGCCTGAAGTGCCATCGTTAATCACGATCTTGAGCACTGTGGGTGGCTGGGGGAAGAGGAGCAAGCACGAGAGTGCAGAGAGATGGAGCCGGGCTGGAGTGTAACGCCGTTATCAGACACTCATTCTCCCAGAAGCCTAAACCTAGCCCCACTTCCTGCATGAGAAGAAAATTGGAGTGTAAGTCTAATACTCCCATACCTTAAGTGTATAATAAATTTTGTTTGTTCTTTTTTCTGAAGATGGAGAAGGAGGAGAAGGAATAAGGAAATAATCCCCTATTGGGGAACAATAACCTCTTACAGCCCTTGCAAGGGTCCTGTAGCTCCATGTTCTCTTTGGGTGACTGCAGCCATCTTTCCAGATCTTCATCAAGCTGGGGTGAGCTCTGTTCATGGGTGAAGAGAAGCAGACAACAGTCATTTTCCCTTTCCCTGTGGGTGGCTGGAGGAAGAGGAGCAAGCATGAGAGTGTAGAGATGGAGTCGGGCTGGAGCGTAACGCCGTTATCAGACACTCAAGGAAGCATAATACTTTAGAGTGGGAAGAGACCTAAAATCAGTGTTTTCTTTACACAGCTGCAAAAAAGAGTTCAGTGGAATTGTGTTAAGAATCATAGTAGTCACTTAGAACTGATTTCAATGTACAACAAAATAGTCCTTAACGGTCAGATATGGTGGCACATGCCTGTCACTCTAGCAATCTGGGAAGCTGAGGCAGCAGCATCAACAGTGAGAGCCCAGGGCTGCTCAGCAGCATAAGCGCCTGCCTGGCAAGCCCAAGGTCCTGAGTTTGATTCCCTGTACCCACACACAAAAAAGTTAGAGCCCAGCCTAGACACCTTAGCAACTTATAAAGACTTTGTCTCAAAAGCTAAAATTGTCTGGGATGTAGCTCAATGCAAAGCACCTAGAAGGGCTGGGCGGGGTGGGAAAGAAAGGAAAAGCAAAGAAAAGGTTCTCTACTCCTTGATAATAAATAGGCCTGGCATCCATGAGATCACTCACTCTTAACATCTGATGCTGACTCTGTCACAATTTTAGGTCAGTAAGTCAATTTTTACCTGAGGTTAGAATATACATGCTTTCTACCTAGTTTTTAATTTTTTTACTTATCTTTTATTAGTACATGTTTGTGGTACATGTTTACATTCCTTGTGTGGAGTTGGTACATGTAAGTAACACATCTTATGAATTCCTATTTTCATCCCCTTCCCTCCCCTCTTATCCCTTCCATCTCTCTCTCTCTCCCTCCCCTTTTATCCCTTCCATCTCTCTCTCTCTCTCTCTCTCTCTCTCTCTCTCTCTCTCTCTCTCGGCAGGGTCCTGTAGTTCAGGCTAGCTTTGTAGCCCAGGCTGGCCTCAAACCCACAGCAATCCTCCTGCCTCAGCCTCCTGAATGCTGGGATTATAGGCATGTGCCACTATGCCTGGCTTCCCTTCCGTCTCTTGATCCTCTTCCCAGTTGAAAAAGGTTTAGCTCTCTGCTACCTATTTAGTATCTATCTTTTACTTATAATTTGAGGGGATTTTTTTGAGACTAGAAAATGAGAGTACTGTCTTTTAAGAAGGCCTGTAAAGTTCCTTTCATGTGACAAAATATCTTCCTCTCTAGCTTTGTGCCTAGGACCAAGCATTCACTCCATTCAGAGGTCTGAGCATCTGTGGAACCATCTACCTATGGCCAACACCAGTAGCTTTTTTGGAAAAGGAAATGACAGCAATTAGAGTAGCTCAATTTCGACCATGTGCAAAGAAATTTATATTTGTATAGTCAAAAGTAACTTGGCCTACTTAAGCAACTTTTTTTTTAGCCTTGAATAGTGGTATGAGTGTGATAGCACATGCCTATAATCCCAGCTGCACAGGAGACTGAAGCAAAAAGATCATGAGTCCAAGGCTAGCCTGGGCTACTTAGCAAGACTCTGTCTCAAATAAAAAAGGCTAGCCTGGGCTACTTAGCAAGACTCTGTCTCAAATAAAAGAGGCTAGCCTGGGCTACTTAGCAAGACTCTCAAATAAAAAAGGCTAGCCTGGGCTACTTAGCAAGACTCTGTCTCAAATAAAAAAGGCTAGACTTGTAGCTTAGTGCAAAAGCTTGTGTTCAGTCCCCAGTACCAGAGGATAAGGGAGAAAGGGAGCACAGATTTTTACTGAAGTAGGCTTAGGGTGATGGAAGGAGGGAATAGATTTAAATCACACATCAAATATAAAATATTTCTAAACATCTTGAAAAAGTATTTGTATCACCTTTTTGCCTCTTTGTTTTCTGTCTCCCCAAAAAGCCCTCCCCCTACTTTCTTCTCAGGTCCTAGGGCTCTAGTCCCCTCCTCTATTTTCTAGAATCTCCCATCCAGGTCTATCCATTTTTCTTCTTTATGGAGAATATTTAGCCTTTAAGGAATGTAACACATACTGGGTCTTCTACCCAAAAGTTACTCATAACACTCTTCTCCTTTGTCCTTCTCTTCTATAGCAGCTGCAAAGCTGAAGAAGTAAATTTCCAGTCCCCCTTGCACATGAGGGCAGCCATGCATCACTTTGGCCACTGATAAAAGTGAGTGTCTGCTGGGAGAGCTTCTGGGACAGATTTTTCTTCCCAGACAATGGGCAGATTCAGCTAACATATTCCCTTGTCCCACCCCCGTTTCTCAGCCTTGTGTGTGGACAGCAGTTGTCTTGCAAATCGGAGACAACAAGCCAGGGAAAAAAGACCAACATGTCACAAGGAACAAAGCAGAAAGATCAAAAAATTTAAGTCCTTCATGGTATGGTTGAGATGCTACCCCAGCTGAGCCCTGCCACCCCTGAATTGCTTGTGAAGTGAGACAAACTCATTTAGGAGTGACAGTGGGGTTTTTTATCATTCATAGCTGAAATCATTCTGCACAGCTTCTCAAAAGATCCACAAGATCAGGATCAGATGAGTGGTACAAGTGCAAAGTCAGATATGATCTTTCTTTAAAATTTTGATTATTATGTTTATCATGGACTCTTTGCATTCAATATGATTTTTTGAAATATCACAAGTTGAGTGTGGTGGTACATGCCTGTAATCTCAGCACTCAGAAGGCTGAGGCAGGAGGATAGTTACAAGTTCAGGGCCAGCCTGAGCTACACAATGAGACCCTTTCTCAAAACAAACAAACTAAAAAAAAAAAAAAATTTTAAATATTACCTATTTCTAAACCGGGAGTAGTGGCACACGCCTGTAATCCCAGCACTCAGGAGGCTGAGGCATGAGGGTTATTGTGAGTTCCAGATAAGCCTGGGCTACAAAGTGAGCTCAAGGCCAGCCTGAACTGCATAGGGAGACCCTGTCTCAGAAAGAAAGAAAGAAAAAAAATATTACCTATCATTACCACTGAGATTTTGAGGGCCCCCTTCAATTTTGCGCCTAAGCATGTCTCACTCACCTCACCCTATCAGTGGTCCTGAATCACAGTTTAGATGAGATGAAATCAAAAGGCAAAGGAGATAAGTTAAAGTGGATTACGTTACAAAATAGGTAAAAGGAGAGCACCAAATCAGGACCAAAATCAAGTGTTTTTTTTGTTTTTGTTCTTTTAGGTTTTTGAGACAGGGTCTGCTGTACAATCCAGGCTGGTCTTGAATTTAGGATCCTCCTGCCTTAGCCTCCTGAATGTTTGCCACCACACCTAGCTCAGAATCAGGTATCTTCAGGGAAGTCTGTACATTTAGGCTAAATTGTCTAGACGATTGTCCCTATGTTCTCTCATCAGCTAGAGAGCCCTAAAATTTTTCTTCCAAGCCCTTTAAATAAAATGTTGTGAAAGACACTGAAACCTGTGTTTACCTTACAAAATGAAGTTTTAAAAAGACTCAACAGGGGCTGGGGATATAGCTCAGTGGCACAAGCACCTGCCTGGCAAGCACAAGGTCCTGAGTTCAATCCCTGGTACCGAGGGGGGGAAAAGAAAAGACTCAACAAGAAAACAATACCCCTATTTAAAAACAGGCAAAGAACTCAAATAGATATTTCTCCAAAATAGATATACTAAATGGCCAAAAAGCTTCTGAAAAGATGATCAACATAACAAATCATTAGAGAAATGAAAATCAAAACCACAGTGAAGTGTCATCTCATGCGCATTACAATACCTATTATCACAGAGAGAGAACAGCAGTGTTGGCAAGGGTGTGGAGAAACTGGAACCCTTGTACACTATAGGTAGGAGTGTAAAAAGGTGTAGCTGCTACGGAAAATAGTATGGTAATTCCTCAAAAAATTAAAAACAGAATTACCATATAATCCAGAAATATCATTTCTGGGTATATACTCAAAAAAATTGAAAGTGAAGCCTCAAAGGGATATTTTACACTCTTATTCATAGCAGAATTATTTTCCATAGCCCCACAACAGATGCCTGTATAAATCCAGCATGATATACAGAATAGATAGCAGAATATTATTCAGCTTTAAGATGGAAGGCAATTGTGACACATGGTATACAATATGGATGAAACTTGAGGGTATTAGGTTAAAAAAATAAGCCAGCCACAGAAAGACAAAATACAACTTTGCTTACATGAAGTTTCAAGGGTAGTAAAACTCATTTAAAAAGAAAAAGCAGATTAGTTACTGGGGAGAAGGGGAAATAGGAAATTATTTAATGGATATAGAGTTTCAGTTTTACAAAATGAAAATGTTCTGGAGCTGACTGTGCAACAGTTATAAGCACAAATGATACTTATGATGAGGTCACACCCCAATAAACCCACTCGAAATACTGTAAGCTCGAAGTACACTTAATATTTAATACACCTAACCTACCCACAGCATAGCTTAGCACCACAGTACACTGTAGAGCATCAGATGTTTCCCATCCTGATTCTCTGGCTGACTGGGAACTATGGCTCATTGCCACTAGCAAACAGTGAGAGTATCAAACCACGTACTGCCAGCCCAGGACAAATCAAAATTCAAACTTCTGAGTATGGTTTCAACTGAATACGTATTGTGTGCACTATCATAAAGCCAAAAAACCATCAGGGAATGTGTATCTACTTTACACCAAAGAACTATACACTTAAAAATGGTTAAAATGATTAATTTAATGCTATATGTATTTTATCACAATTATGTATTTTTTAAAAATCTGAGGAATAAGGGCTATTAGGACAATACAGAAAAATGATTGTATTTCCTTTCTCATTTGTCAATATTAGAATAAAAACTAAAATAAACTAATGCAATTTTTAAAATCTTTCAAAAGTCCAGCCTTTTCTGTTACCTCTTTGTGTCCTCTCCTAGATCTTGAGTTTCTCTGACCCAAAGCAAACTGCTATCTCCTTTATTATTGTCCTTTTCTTGTTATTCTTAATGCTTTTTATCTAAAAACAGAAGAAATAATTAACTTTTAAAACAAAAATATATAAAAGCCCACCATAAAATGGAGTAGACAAAAATTAAGGCCATCAGTGGTCCCAAGTATGCAATGCACCAGTTCCCCTCTTCCCATGAGAGCAGGGGGCCAGGTGGCAGTCCACAGGACACCTGTATCACAGCAGCTGCTTCTGGGGTCTTGGGAGCTCTTTGGTGCCAGGTGAAACTGCAGGAAACCTAGCCTTTGCCAAGGTTCAGAGAGAAAGAAAAAGCAGAGGATAGAAAGGGCATACAAAAGAGGAGGGAAGCAACTCTAAAAACAAGTTGCATATTTTTCTTTTGGGGGACCATCCTGTTGTCACTTTTTAAATGTTTTAAGGTTGGAGCCCCAGAGAAAGAATTTGTATCCCCTAATGTATGTTAAATACATATATACGCTATCTAATTTCATACAGCCGGCAGACCTAGAAAACAAAGAGGAATAATACATGCTAAGCATTTTACAATGTAATAATAGCCACTGTTCATGGAGCTGTTTTGTGCATTATGAGATAGGACTAATTATCCCCACTTTACAGATAAAAACTGAGGCTTGGCAACATTAAATGGTTTGCCAAAACAAAAGAAAACACTGTAGAGTGGACTACATAGTGAGATCAAGACTGGTGGACCCTGTCTCCAAAAAAGAAAAGAAAGAAAAGAAAAAGTAACCAGTGAATCAGAATTGAGGTGAGGCTGTACCTGACCTCAAGGTCACACTTGCCCTATGTACCACCATGCTGCCAAGGACAGCGTTACAGCAAGGGCGCGATGGAACAGGTCCGGGC